TATGTACCAAGACACCAACTTACAAAGAACCAATAACTACTAAGTGTTGCTAAGGTAGAGGAATAGATCAGTGGGTCATCACCAAATCAATAGGTGACCCAACAAACCTATTGTAACGTTTTTAGATAGAATCTTTTATAGTTTGATTTTATAAACTTATGTTTAATAAATTATTTTATTATGACGTTTAGACATTCTAGGCATCTTATAAAGCCAAATTTATGGTAGTGGGATGTGGCGGATATTCCATATGCTTTGAGTTCAATTCCAAACTCCACAACAATTGTGATCACTGAGTTTATTACGGCTAATGTCTTAAAATCGCAATTTCGAGATTAGTTTGGGCATAGCTCGAGACACCCTTCCAAAAAACAGGTGGTTGCCTTGGGATTAGTCAACTCGCATAGCGCGTTGGATATCCAGATTAATATATATATATATATATATAGGGTCGGGTTCACGTGAGACCAAAGAATTTTCGTAAGACCCGTAAGACCAATTTATGTTCATTGATCAATTTTATATGTTAATGATCTAATGGTCTAAAGTTGCAAGGTGACAATTTTGTAAATATTGAGAAGTCTCACCATTGGTCTCACATGATCCCAAGTATGTATATATATATATATATATATATATATATATATATATAAGGTCAAGATCAAATGTTAACCAAAGTTTTTGTGTTAACTTTGTTAACCGATCTTGGTCATTCAATCTTTCAATAAACGGTTGTGATTAATTATTATAAATACTTATTTTTTTTAAATTTTTAAAATTTCATAAACATAAGTGAACAAAGTTGAAAAGGGTATTTAGGTATAAGAAAATATGTAACTCTCATATCATTAATTGGGAGTTACAAAATCAAAAAATTTATGATTTTTGTTAATTTATTTTTGTTAATGTAAGAAACATATGAACACAAGTATATATATATATATATATATATATATATATATGAACCATTGTATCAAATACGAAAACAAAATTGACAAATATATGAACTTGGACTGCATAGCATTTATGAACACAATATGAACATAATAAAAATAACTGTTATACGAAAGAAAATAAATAAAAAAACAGGTATGAACATAATATGAACAGCTTTTGAACAATAGTTCATTATTATAAACGCATTCAGAAGAGATCATTTGTCAATTGGAGTTTTATACATGCATTGCATCCACACCGTTTAAGGTTCACCCCTTGTTCATATATGTTTCTGGTCTTATGTGGTTCTTCAACCTTTGTTCATATCGTGTTCACCCCTTATTCATATCGTATAAAATATATGAATACATAACTCCAACGCTATGAACATCGGGTGCAAACACTTACACAAATATAAAGATTTGGTATCAAACTTAAAAAATAACACTTGTGTTCATATGACATAAGTAACATGAACACAATGGTTCATGATTCATAAAAGTCGGTAATATGACAATATAAAAATGAGCCGTGCATGTATTTCCATTTGAACATGTGAATTAGGTAGGTATTAATAGTTAAAAGAAAAGTTATCAATGCAATATGAACTACAAAAAACACAACACATCATAATAAACATAATTTCGATTAAAACGAGTCTAATAAAATATTAATTCATTACCAAGACATTCACTTTGGTTAATTTCTTCACTTCCCGAACTCGAAATCCGATTGTCACCATAAACCATTTTAATCTTCTCAATGTTTTCAAAAAAAAATTCTAATTCGTTTATCCATAATAGCATGAACGATACCGAAGATTTTACTACCGTGTTTCCTCCACGAATCAAAAACTCATTAAACAATAAAAATGAAAGTCAAAGACCTTCCAGCCTAGTGGTAAAGGCTTGGGCATGGCATAGTCATGAACCCGAGTTCGAGTCCTGGGAGGGGAGTGTTGGCGACATTTAAGTGGGGCCATGTTTAGCCTCCAAATTTGCCGGGATTAGTCGGACTTTGGCCCGGACACCCTTACAAAAAAACAAAACAATAAAAATGGAAGATCAAGATTAAAAAATAAATAAAAATATCAATATTATAAATGTATATTTTTAGGGATTTTATGAACTCCCCTTTAATGGTATGAGAGTTACATAGGAAATGAAATTACTCAATTACCCTTGGCATTAAATTGTGAACATGATAGAAACCTAATAGAAGAATGGATTGTGATTGGTTGACATGGTTTGCAAAGTTAATACAAAAACTTTGGTTAACATTTGATCTTGTCCATATATATATATATATATATATATATATATATATATAAGAACCAAAAAACCAATTGAATTCAAAGGTGGTTATAACCACTTTTTTAAAAAAATACAAATATTTCTCCTTAATTTTTAATTTAAAATTAGTGAAATACAAAAAAAAAATTGGAGTGAAATAAATTACACCAAAAATGATATTTTATTATTGTTAATTTGATATCCATTTTGATATAATTTTCCATCCATTTTTTCGTAATTCTTCCGTTCTTTTTTTTTTTTAATTCTCTATGAATCTTTTTTTTCTTTTGAAGTATATAATATTTATATATGGCAAAATAGAACAAATAAACTTACACACTCTCTTCACATTTGGTGAGGTTTAAACTCCTAACCTACTAGGAGGTCAAAGTCACACATACCGCTAAGCCAAAGGCTTTTTGATATTCTCTCCGAGTCTTTTCTCTAATTAAATATTTAATTATACTTGACACTCTATCTTTATAATAAAAAAAATGAAATTGAGTTTGACGATAACTTAAACCGGAGGTCTCAGGTTCAAATCCAAGAAGAAATAAAAATCTTTTTGTGGCCACAGAGGTTCAAATGCGGTGACTCCAGACCATCTGCAGAGCAAGTGATCGCCCTGGTATTAGTCGGCTCGCATAGCGGGTTGGATATCCAGTTTAATAAAAAAAAATTGATATTTTGCTCATTGTGAGTTATAAACTGTTTGATTGAGTAAGTGTTTACCGACAAGAGTCATCATCCTCACTTTCCTTATTGAGAAATATTTTAGGTCATCAAATAAATTGTTGGCAAGTGTCTTTCACCCGCTAAGTGTTCACCGAGTGAAAGTCTTCTACCTTAGTTACTAGGTAACTCGATCCTTGTTATGCTTCTTATTAGGTAAAGTTCTTGATCCTTGTTACGCTTCTTACTAGGTAAGATTCTCAGTCCTTATTATGCTCACCCAGTTGATAGATGACACCCGATAAACGCTAATATGAAACTTTGAAAATTATTTTTCCAACATTGAACAAAAATAAAATAAAAAAGTCTTGTGGGGTTAGCTCAACTGTCAATAAGGCTTAGGTCTTTGAATATTTTCCCATCACCAGTTCAAATTTTCTGGAAGACTACTGAGAATTTTACTGACTGTTCTCTAGGATCCCAAGAATTAGTTGAGGTACACACAAATTGGACCTTACATCCAGAAAGGAATTACTTTTTGGCTTTTCAAATGATAACGACGAATATGCTTTTATTTCGCACCACATAATATTTATTCCAAGAGATTTTTCTGTAGGAAAGTATTGAGAAGAATGATAAAATCGAATCAATGTATGAGTTTGCAACATTAAAATCGGTCACAACTCATTATAGGACCAACCCGGTTCTAAACTGAAACTAGCTTGGTTAAAGTCGACGCGAAATTTGTTACGTTATTAAGATTCTTTCTGTTTTCGGTTCAAACCCGATAACCAACCCTAACCATAACCATATATATCTTGATAAATACCGTAAGCACACACGAGCATGCACGTTCATGCTCATTTTAACAAGTCCAAAAACACCAAAAATCACATGGAATTCAGTAAACCAAAATAAACCAAATGAGCTCAGTATATCTCTGTGGTCTAAAAAAGATAACACGGCGTTTAACAAACATGATTGATAACTCCGATGTATTTGAATCGAAAGATCCGATCAAACGAAGCAAAACCCCCAATTTCGATCCAAACTACAGATACACAAGGCCCGTACTTTTTAGGGCTAAGCCAACCTTCCAAGCCTGTTTTCAATGGAAAAAAAACGCACAAAGCTTTTCTAGGCTAGGGCCGAGCTTTGGGGTTGAAAAAAGGTCCGGTTGAACTTTTTCAGGCTTTTTGAGCTTTTTCAAGTTTAACCAGACTGGGTACGACTCTTTTAGGCCGACCACAAGATTCGGCCTGATCAGGCTCTGGCTCACTACGCCTGAGCTGATGCCAAGCTTCGGGCTTCGTAAAACCCTACATCAGATAGACACAAACCATCGACCTGTGTATATGTAGATACTTTCTCATCTCTTTAAAAAGACGTTCTTTTAAAAAGAACTGAAAAAGGTTCCACATATCCTCACACAAATACTCATGCGTTAATCTTGAAAGATGCTAAAGCAAAAGCCATCCAATATCAACTCCGTAAATGTAAAAGTTAACAACATACCAAAACATACGTGAAAACTCCTCCGACCACCATGTAACATGTGCAAACCATCTAAGTAACCCTCTGCAACAACGACACGTCGAAATAGACCCCAATGAAAAACACAGATTCGGTATATGTATTTTAATGAGATGGACCTATGTTTTCCGAGCAATTAACTATTTTGGTACGATACTAGGAGCATAACCTAAATTGACTCGAGAAATAACGCCTCCTGTTTGCTAGTCAACCCAAGTTCATTCAACGTTAAGTTACTTTCTCCATCACTGAATGCACGGCGAGGGTAGGGTCTCACCTGCATAAAAACACAACAATAACGGTCAGCCATATATTGACCCTTTTGTTAATCAAAATCTCCCTCCGTTCCAAAATAAGTGTCTGTGTTTATATTTTAGTCTATCTCACAATAACCATCTACTTTCCAATTCTATCATTAACTATAAGACGGAGAAATTCATTACTCGCTCTGTTGTAAGAGTAAAATTGTCATTTAGTTGATTAACAAGTGTCCATATTTTTATCTTAATTTGTAAATAATAAGCGTCAACTTTCTGAAGTAAGTGTCTGCTTTCCAATTCTATCCTTACCTATGAGATGGAGAAATCCATTATCCGCTCTATTGTTATAAGGGCAAAATTGTCATTTAGTTAATTAATAAGTGTCCATACTTCTATTTTAGTTTGTCTCATAATAAGTGTCCACTTTCTAAAGTAAGTGTATACTTAATTTCCAATTCTATCCTTAACTATGAGATGGAGAAATCCATTACTCGCTCTATTATTAAAGGTAAAATTGTCATTTTAGTTAATTAATAAGTGTCAATATTTCTATTTTAGTTTGTACCATAATAAGCGTCCACTTTCTAAAGTGTCACCTTAATTATGAGATGGAGAAATACATTACTCTCTCTATTCTTAAGGGTAAAATTGTCATTTAGTTATTAAAGGACGGAGTATATGATTAACACTTTCATCACTAGCAGCGAGGTTCTATATCCTATTCGCACCACTTTGTTAAGAATATGTCACGTCATATTTCCAAAAGCATGAATAAATTTACTGCGAGTATCAGGTGTAAGTTACCACATGAACCAAACAAACAAAAAATTTGAGTTTCTTAAAAGGAAAGACGAAGAATTACCAATCTGTACATGCCAGGCTTAACCACTCGGGCAACATCGATGAAGTTGAAAAGATACTGCCAAGAAAAAAAGGTAAAAAGAAGAAAAAGAGTTAATTATGAGCGATTGGCATGTTGTGCTGTCGTTGCCTTTGGTGTTAACATTAAGCCAAAAAATAGAAGGGTAGACGCCACCCTCTAGGGGCGCTGACCGCACCAGTCCCACTGTCATCATGGGGGACGTAAATCAGTGCATGCATCCCATTGGCAGAGGTGCCCAGGCCCGAACCGGGACCTCGCTCTTATGGATAACACCGACACCTCTACCGTTAGGACAGATCAATCAGCATAAAAATGCCAAAAAGAAAAGCACCTAAATGGACATTGATATCATTAAGGGTGCGTTTGGTATCCAGACAGACAGGATAAGACAAGATAGGACATAACAAGACATGACAGTTGTTCAATGTTTGGTAAAACAAAACTGGACAGGACAGAGCAGATAAAATGAACAATTTACTCCTAATGAGTTGTTTATGTATTTTATATATTTATTAATTATTGTAATTTATTAAATTGTAATAAAAAATATTTTTTTATAACAAAATATATCTTTAGAAATTTTTTGACAAGACGATTAAAATGACACCAAAATAAAAGTTCATGTAGTTTCCAATTTTTATTTTGTACCTAAACTTATTATTAATATTTAATAAATTACATAAATTAATCAAAATATAGAAACCACATAAAAATAATATTTTGTGGACAGTAAAGTGAAAGTTTAAAGAGCATAAAATACAATAAATAAAATTTAAAGAATGAATAAAATGTAAAGAGGAAGGAGTATGTGATGTTTTAGAATAGAATTAAGTTTTATTTTAAAGTTATATTGGTAAAATATAGGTCTGTTCCACCTTGTTCCATAGGGTGGGAGTGGAACATGTCTGTTATAAAAGTCATGTCAAACATGGGACAATGGTCCTTCTTCTGTCCTGACTTGTCGGTGTACCAAACGCACCCTAACAGACTTTGCCTACAATACACCAGATCCACAAAAGAAACCATCAAACTTCACAAACAGAAAAAAACAAGTTATAAAAAAAAAAGACATCACTTGATTTTAGGGATGAAAACTGTTATATTTAGCAAAAGGACCCATGGCAAGTTTTGTAATTTACTCTTTCTTTTATGTGTCCTTTTCCATAATGAATTGTTTACTAAAGTGATCCAATAAATTCTCAAGAGTAACCAAACCAAACAAATCCAATATATCTCGTCCGAAGGTGGTATTTGGGGGTGGTATGTAGATAGACTTGACCTCTACTCTTAGAGAGGTTGTTTCTATGAAGACCTCCGGCTTGTGAGAAGAAATTCTAAAGAGTAAGATAACATAATAATGTTATTTTCTTTGCCTATGTTGTATTGACGACACCAATAGTCAAGCGACAAAAATTATGTGCATCTAGGTTATAATGTAGTCCCGAAATGATCTGACAGCGTCTTGCTGACAATTTAAGGGAACTTTAGTATTTTCAGTGTGTTATCGTTGACTAAGGAGCTGTTTGATTGGTTTTCCATTAACTCCTGTATGGATAAAGCTGTCTGTGTGGATTAATTTTTCTGCATATATTGGAAAAGTTTTTGTTTGGGAGGGTTTTTTTCATAGATGGAAGAAGCAGGTTTTTAATTGGGAGGAGCAGGTTTCGATAAACACTGGATTTTCTGCATAAAGCTCCCCCTTAGAAGCTTACTGAATAAGCCACTTTCTATATCATTAAGTCACTATCAAACAGTCATATATAGCTGACTGAATAACTGTAAGTCCCATTAAGCTTATTAAGCTGCTAACAAACAGGCCTAATACAGATTCATCAAGTTCTGGTGTCATGTAGGCTACGTACATTAACATTATGAAATAAGCTTACCATTCATTTTTGCTACTAATGGCAACTGAGAATTCTTTAGCCATTTATGAAGTATTTGTTTCATTTAGTCAATTTTCCATGAGAAGTCCATAAAATCAGTTAATGGTAGTGATATCCATTCAGAGTTCGTTCATTTTTGCGGTTTCTTGCTAAGTGGAGTGTTTTTTGGCATTTAGAAGCAAAATGGATTGTTGGACTAGTAACACAAAATGTTAATCGTTGTTACTGACTTACTGCACAAACAGTACCTGTAACTTGTCAGTCCTGAGAAATCTGCGACCACGACGGCTTCCGTCAGGCATCCGCACAAGAAGGGTCACAGCATTTTCATCTTCAGACGTAGGTTCCTGAGGAAGAGAAGCTTCTTTTGCTGCTAACTGCCTCTCCATTTCCTGCAGGGGAAAAAACAAGCATAAAAAACGCGAAGAGGTACACTTGATATTGCATGAACAAAACGGACAACCAACCAGTGCCACTTACGAAGTGAGGAATACCAAGGTGGAAAAGACCCACCCACCCTGGCCCGAAACCTATATGTGTATGCACATATGTCTACGTTCTAAGTATATGTTTACGTACATGTGTATGTTTTGTGTGTGTATATATGTGTGTGTGTTATGTATACATATCTATATGCATGTATATAATACTATGTGTGTGTGTGTGTGTTTGTATTTGCATATATGTGTGTATGCAAGAAATGTTAGAAGGCCCGAAGAAGCACATATATACACATAGAGAGAGGAAGTTTCAAACCATGTAATCGTTACAAACCAAATCTGGGGCCTTGATTTTGAAATTTAAAGGTGGTTATTAAATCAGTTAAAGATGAGGTTGAGAGTAAATTTTGGAACCAGTTTAATCTACACCGTTGATCATTTACACGGATGGTTGAGACTGGTTTGTAGGGTCTGTAACAATTACATGGTTTGTATTTTAAACTACCTCTCTCTCTCTCTCTCTCTATATATATATATATATATATATTTGAAGTATATAACTTATTAAAGCATCATTAACATTAATAACATATATATTAAGAACCACAATTAACAATGCAACGCTAATATAACGTCAGTCGTACAGCTGGCATCAAGCCCATAAAGGATCATCAAACAGGTGTATTTGAGGTGGAATGAGGTCTTACCATCATTATATATTTTTTGGATATATAGGAAGTTCTAATGTTGTTTATGATCCTAGATGTTTAAAGTTTCTGCAGCATGTTAGTTAAAAGGAGGGTTAATGGGAACAGGCTTCATTTAGACTAAAAGAACATGAGGCGAATTTTTTTTGATTCACCAAAAATTGCTAAAAAGTCGACTTGTTCTCGGTTCTATGAATCCCTCTCCTTGTGCCTCAGACCCCAAGGTACAGACCTCACGAAAGCCAAGGGGTCTCTTGCCTAAGGAACAATGCAAGAAACAGAAAGTTGTAGTACCACAAAGGCAAAAGTGTTGGGCAAAAGAGTCGGACATAAGGAGTGCATAGAATCTATTAGAATCAATCTCTTTCAAAGTAGAGAGTCCCAGGTTCGAAGTCAAGGCTAATCTCACTATAATGACTTCAGTGCTCCACTCTAAAATGTATAGAAAAATGAAACATAAAAGGGCAACACCGTGTGCATTACGTGACACAAGATGAGATTATATTAATTGTTACTTCAGAATGTATGTAATGTCATAACCCACATAAACTTCACACTTATTCATCTTGGAAGATCATGTACTCACTGCCTAAATCTAACAATTAGGATATAGATTTTAGCTGCAGCTTTTGTTGTTTGGCAACTAGATCTAAAATTCTTAAAATGTTGTTTGTGTTACCTTAATATTCTGGAAACCCAACTAGATCTACGTGCTCTTTGAAAGAAGTAACAGAAGTCCCAAAATACAATATCATAAAAGTGATCGCCTTTGCAGTATTTGCGCTCACATAACCTAAAACCTCCCCAGTGTCGTTTACAGTTTTGTTTGGGTTCATTTTTGGGCTACAAGCCTACACCAACTAGTTTGGGATAAAAGGCTTCATGGTGGAGTTGCCGGTTGTTGTTGGCACACTTCAATTAGCATAAACAATTTACTGGATAAATATTTAAACACCCATCACCTGTTCTTCTTCTAATTTTCTGAGTGCCTCTTCCTCCTTTCGCCTTTCTTCTTCCATAGCAGCTTCTCTGGCCGACTGCTCTAGTAACTCCTTTTCTCTGTCTGCTTGCAATGATGCAAGATATTCATCATCCTGCATGCAGTTGTTAAAAATAAAATAAATGATGGTAAAACCAAAGTTTTTGACAGGGAAGATTGTGTATTGACAAATTCTTGCGGAGTCCAAAGATTTGAAAATAAAAAAAAAAAAGATTCTAGGTTAATTAATATAGTTCAAATGTGCCTCTGGCGTGTAGCTCAGTTGGCAAAGGGTAGAGAGACTTTGCCTAAATATATTCAAATGTACCTGTTGTTCTCTTATTAAACGCTGAGCAGTGAGAGAGGGTGATGGAGGACGAGGTATTGGCCGGGGATAAGGCCCCATGGTTCCATCCAAGCCATTCTGCATGTACTGATGTGGTGCATATGGTACACGATATCCAGTCCCTTCAGGAATTCCACCAAAGAGTGCAGCCTCAAGCATGACCGCTTCATCATGTTCCTCCGATGAGATACCTCCCCACTATAGACAAATCATGATTAGAAAATAAGTACTCATGTATGTAATGTGTAACCAGATATCATTGTTTAAAATGAATTGAATGCTCCCTTTGAGTGGATAAATACCCCCATGTCCCATGAAAAGTTCAGTGTGTAACTTGAAACTTAGGTTTAAGTAAAATGTCTGATCATTTGTCACATATATAGGGGTCAGTTCAAATAAGAAAACTAAATATTGTGAGAAGGGAAGAAGGGAAGGTTCATATGTGAATCCATTGAAAAATCCGACAAAAATCTATATAAAGATGCATGTGAACCAACGTTATTGATTATTCATACGGTTTCATATATGCATCTTCAAATGGAATTTTCAATGCTTCACGTATGAACCTTCCCTTCTTACCTTCTCATGATATTTAGCCTTCTTATTTGAACCTCCCACTATATATATACCAATAATAATCTTCAATAGAGACAAAGAAAGGAATCTTGCAGGCCCACATCAAGTCCATCAATTAGTTTGCAATGACAATAACGAGGAAATAGGTCAACTTAACATGGAATCTTCCTTCAAAACAGAAAAAAGATATGTTGCATTTTTGTGGGAGGTAGGGTAGAAAATCATTTTGTAGAAGAGATAGAGGGAGAGAGAGAGAGAGAGAGTGAGAGATACTTCATCAGATGGGAAATCACTCCTGTTGTTCCCAGGATGATTGATATTTGGTTGGTGTTGAGGACTCGAGGGTGAACTCAAGTCTGTTTCTTCAATGTCTCTGGCAGAGCCAATGGAGCTAGAAGACATAAGTTGACTCCTGTTTCTAACCAGAGGTTGTTCTTCTGCATCTTCAGCTTCATCCTGAATCGATGAGCTCCCCACATCCAACCTGATTAACATTCCCATTTTTTGGGTCCCCAGTTTTAAGTAGTTACAAAAATAAGATGTGAGTGTAGGTCCCACATTGAGAAATGAAGACAGACCTGCAAAATGGAGAACGAAGAACAAATAAAAATAGTATTGACAAATAGAACCTTACCTTCCATTTGATGATGCCAATGTCTCCACCTCTTCCACCTCGACCAGCTTAGAAATTCTAGGTTCAGATGGTCCGACTTCAGATCCTAGTTCGCGTAAGGCTTTCTCTTGCTCAGCAGTCTGGAAAAGATCAATGTTAAGCAGGAAGGAGAACATACCACAAGGGCTACACCATACAATGATAACAAGGAAATGAACCTTCAAAGATAAAGAGACTGCTTGTGCCAGTTCAGGATCCTCTAACTGAGATTGCATCGGATGAGGTACAGCATCATCTCGTTGACCAATCTCAGAATCCTGTTTGGAAGCTTCAATTGCAGCTCGAATCATCTCTTCTTCAATGCCATAATCGGGTTCACCAATTAGTGGAGCACTTGCTCTCAATTGAGTGTCATGTACACCTTCACGTTCACTCCACCGTGCTTGACGAGAAGTTAGAAAATCATCATCATCATCTTCGTCAATAATCACATGCCCACGAGTTTCTGGAACACCTTCTATCGCGGTCTCTGTGACATCCTCAATTCTAGGAGCATGTCCGGAATGACCTGGTTCTGTACTGGGCCCATCCTTGACCTCAATGGGTATCTGCCTCACTTCTCTGGGATGGGAGACAAATGGTTCAGCACTCCTGAACCCTGGCCCACTATCAAATATACTTCTGGTGAAGTTTGGATCAAGAATAGAGAATGGGTTCATCTCTCTGGCAGAAGGCAAGAGTGAGAAAGGAGGTCTGTGAGATGCAATTTGACTTGGGTCATCTATGTCCATGAAATCCTCATGTGGAGCAGCAATGGATGTTTCACGTCTGCTGAAAATAACATAATCAAAAAAAGAAATCAGAAGGTGAGATGAAAGTGAAATGGAATTCATGATTGGTGTTTCTTCTTCTTGTAACCGGCATTATTGAATAGTGAAGACGACTAACATGTTTCTATCTCCTTCGGTGAAATGTGAGTTGACAGCTTCATTGAGATCACCCCCATGCTCCTGAAGATGACCAGTGAAATTTAGCTCCAGGCAGGAAACAGAATATGAACCGAAAAAGAAGTTAAATTCTAAATACAAAATTTTGATTGATATATCAGATAAAGGCAGCAAATACCAGCCAATGAATTTCTTCATCTAAAATCGCCGAGACATCTTAATATGAGTTAGAACCGATATAACTCCATTTAAATTTGAATATATATATATATATATATAGAGAGAGAGAGAGAGAGGGGAGCGATCAAATAAAAACCACTCCAATTTGTAAAAACCGTAAAAACTACTCTCATCCGTCGTTAATCTTATGAAACTTTTTCATGAAATTGTTAATCTTGTGAAATTGTTTCATATAATACTTTTTTTGATGAAGTTGTTTCATATGTGGTTATGAAATTGTTTCATATACTACTTAATGAAATTTTAATGAAACTGTTTCATGTATTTCTCTAAAATTAAAATAATGAAGATGATAATATCCATGATTAACACCCTCCACAATAAAAATGGTTAATCAACCTCTCATAATTACAAAAAATGAACAAAATGAAAAATTATGACTGGTTGAATGAGGTTTTCACGGTTTTTACAAATTGAGTGGTTTTTATTTGAACCCACCCCTGTATGTATATATATGTATGTATGTATAAAGTCGGGTTCAAACGAGAACATTGACCAAATAAGAGAATACAAGAACAGCCACATCTGACTTAACACTAAACTCACGTGTAAAATTACATGTGATTAAGCGCAACCTAGGATGCGGGCCAAGTCTCCTACATACCCTTGTGTTGACCGTGTTCAGTAATCACATGTGATTTGGCCATGGATCTCATCCACAATTATCCTCTTCGCAAATCACTTGTTCCGTAATCGCATGCCACTTGTGGGTCTCATCTACATATATCCTCACATCAAGTAAATGTGGCAACAATCACGTTTGCATTTCTTCTTACACAATTGCAAGCATGAAAATAGCAGAAGGAAAGACCAAAGAGAACCTTGACTATAGGAGTAGTTTCAATTTTTTTTATTGTTTGCTTAGCCTAATTGGAATGTTTACTTTAGTAAATAAAACTATCCCTCTCTAAATCATATCATATGGATTCTAGTTCTCCCCCCCCCCCCYTTTTTCCTCCTACATTTGTTATCAACTATAATGTTGTGTAGAATGAACATGTTTGAAAAGTCATTCTTCTATGTTCCACTAGTCGCCTTCCCTTTCTCCAGCACCTTCACGTCAACAACTCTGTTCAACTTGTTCCTCAATCCGGAAAGCCTAGATTCTTCCATCCCCCCCCCCTCCAAAAAAAAACTAGTTAAACTCCCACAAAGGAATGCACGAAATGCCTAATACTGTATGCCTTAGTCAGCATAGAGAATATGTTTGTCAGAACCTAGCTCCTGCATGCATTTTACCTGCTTCACCGCAATACGCACCTCAGACATGTCTTTAGACATCTTTAAAAAACTGGGGAAAAGAGCATTTTACCATACGTGATTCGTCAATTTTCTGTAGATGCGTACACATGCTCTTCAGGCATGGTGCATTTGAGTCTCTTCTTTTGTTAGGTTGAAACAGAAATAAGAGATTACGTGCATAAGCAATCAACTGTCCATCCGAGTCAAGGAGAACTGATGAATTTATCTTTGGAAAAATAGAAGGAAAAGCACAGACATAGAAAATTACATGTCCAATAAAAATTCCCTACATTTAAATTATGTCAACAAAATTTTGCACCTTGACAATATGGAAGGAAAGTATCATATCCATTAAAATTCACTGCAGGCATCCAAACAGTCTATGAGCAAGAGAACTATGACACTTTAAACTTCCTCAGTCACATAATCAAAATTAAGCCCGTTTACTTTCCATGATCTTGTATAGCGAAGTTATAGGCATGTACATCCAAAACAGGTGAGAAGGAAACAGTAGCACATGAATGCTCCTCAGATATGTGAGGGTTTGGGAGGGACAGCATTATACATTGAATTTCCCTTGCATTTACAAAGATGTTTTTATGACTCTAAACTATGACCTTCTGATCATAAAGGGTAATCTTATTGATCCAATACAAAATAAAGATCCAAATGTTGAAATTGAAAAGCTTCAATCTAACAAAATACGAAGCAAAAATCCTCAAATCCATGAATCCTCACCAATGCAATACAAGCTTACACCATATATAAATACTCCCTCGTTTTCACTTTTTTATGCCAAACAAGTTACTTCCCAACCTCCAAACGGATCCGAACCCATAAAAAGTTGCTACCTTGATTGAACTTAATAACAAGCAACGTTATGAGATTCGATTTGCAACAATATCCAAGTGAACTTTGTGCATAAAAGTACTAATTTCGAAATCAAACCCTAGCTCTTTTTAGGGATTACATGATACATCAAAACTACGTATAAACGCAATCAGTTTCTTCGAACAAAAATAAAAATTAGGGGTGAGTTAAAATCAAACCCCTGCATTCCATTATAAAAATAAAAATTCCAGCTCAAGATAACACATAAGCCCTAATCAACACTGCTAAGAAGTACTAAAACCAATCAGATGAACAACAGCGATGCAAAAACAAAGGGAAAAAAATATATGATCAGTGATTTGATTTAGATACAAAAAAATTAGCATGATTACCGTGAGTTTCTGTATAGCAACCGATTCAGATGAACCGGTGATGCTCATAAATGTCTCGATTGCTTCTTGATTTGGTGTCGCCATCGATGGAATTTTGCAGAACAAGTGATTCACTTGTGAAGAAGATACACATAAAATATGGTTTTGGGTATATATCGGTTGCTAAAGAAAATAAACACAAATCGTTTGTATATATTGAAAAACAGTCTTCTATTAATGACATATTTGGCCCCTATACTATTATATTTTAAACTTTTACCACTTGAAATCTCATTGTATAATATCACATATACATTGTATTTCTCTTTTTTTTATTTGTATCATTGTATGTATTCGAGCCAACTTAAATAGCACTGATTAATCCACATTTGCGACAAAAAATAGTCCAGTATCATCGTAGATGAACCTTCATGGCCACAAAGGTTTTGGCAGCGCCTGGATTTGAATAGGAAAGATGAGATTTTTACTACTAAAACCCTTGAGCCTTAACGGCACAATCAAATTGGTTACGGATATCGTATTTGAATTTTTGTTGTACGAAAACTACCCTTTTGCAAAAATGGTTTTTTGCATGAAGTGGGGTTTTGGGAATACATTTCGATAGTTTTTTTGTTTGATTAACTTGGATATTCAACTCGCTATGCGAGACGACTAATCTCAGAGCGGCCACCTGCTTTGCAGATAACCCGGAGTCACCGCATTTGAACCTCCGTAGCCAAAAAGGGATTTTTATTCATTCTTGAATTTGAACCTGAGACCTCCTGGTACTTTTGACCTTTGGAGACAAGCTCAAACCAATCAGACACCACCTTTGTGGTTCATTTTGATTGCCAATATGTGATGTAGGGTTTGAAACAATTTTACGAGATAGAAAGAACATCGGGTTGGAATAATGAAGTAGTATAATAATCCACGAAAGTTTTTGTCATATAGACGTTTTTGCACTGAAAATGTACTGTAGAAAAGCAATATACGAAACAGGAGGAGGCTCACAAAGCTTTATTTCAGTTAAGATGTTTATATAGAATTAAATTGTCCCATACTCTCTCTAGCTGATCATATAAGATGACGTTATGGATATTCCAAATAAGAAAAACATCTACAGACTACGTAAATTATTACTTTGTAAAAAACGTTCCTTTTAACCGAAAACCCCCTCAGCCATACCACAAAACCATGTCTCGAGAGTATAATGTGAGAGAGTTACGTACATTATGGCTCGCTAGATATTTAGCTTAGCAGCCCAATACCCACGAGGACTTCAATCCCTCAATAAATTATGGCTTCCAAATTGCGGTTGTCATATTCGATTGACCGAAATAACGTATGCCAATATACAAGTTTAATCATACACACTTAATATGATTTTTGTAACAATTGTTAATTAGAACAAAACAAGGGACCAAATGGCATTTGGCCTAGCGGTATATGAGTGTTTGGCCTCCTATAAAGTCAGGGGTTCAAACCTCATAAAAGGTGAGGAGGGTGTATGAGTTTATTTGTTATATTTATTGTATATAAATATTATATACTTCAAAAAAAAAACAAGGGACCAAAATGATTAAAAAACTAGTACAAGGGTCAAATAAGAAATGTAGACATAGTACAGGGGGGAAAGTAACTTTTTGTAAACAGAGTATTTATCCCCTTGGTGCTTCTCCATTGTTCTACAATACGCCTCTTGTGATACTGTGTTACATCAAAGGATGGCACTAGATTGGTGTGAGTGATAATGGCCGTTGGATGAGAGTCAACGTCATGTGAGGTCAATGTTTGGATTTAATCGATGGTTAATAACGCATGTTGATGTGAGCACCCATGTATCTTTAGGAATCTATGTTTCACCATGTTGCTTGGAGGAGGAGTTAAGTAGATTACTTTTGTTAAAGTTCTTTTTTTACCTTTTTCTTTCTTAAATGTATTTTTTATATGACGAGTAATATTTATATTATATTATAAAGTATTTGATAAAAAAATTAAAAACTATTTTTTATATATAAAATATTGTTTATTGATGTATATTACTTAAAATTTAATATTATAATAAAATAATGCATAAATACAACTTATTAAAACTTATATGTTTGAATTCGTATAACTAACTGTAGATAAACATAATCAAATACAAGATAAACATTTCATTTTAAATATAAAAAATCTAGAATATAATTAGGATAATTATTATATTCTAACAGGATAATTAATTATTATTTTTATAAAAAATTATATTATTAAATCAAAAATAAATTACTTCGTTATTAAACCTAAATAAATTATAATAAAAATGTCGAACTAAAAAAATTACACAACAAAACAAAGACTTTTAAGTAGTTATTTTGATACTAACATCCATAATTTTTTTCCAAAATTTTATGATATATTCAAATTTATATTTTATTCAAAAAATAAAGACATTATCATATTTCTCAAAACCACATAAAATTGTTTTATAACATTGACAGAGAACAAAATAAAACAAAACATTAAAATTGAAATGTATCTCGTTGCATTGGACGGGTACCCTTATAGTATCTTAATTTTGAGTATCTGGACCTGTTATGCGTACTTCAAGAACAATCAGAAAAATCTCTAATAGTCTTACAGAACTTGAATTAATGACCTCTGAATAGAATCCAAAAGACCAAGTTTTATTACCGTTTGAACAAACCTTGCAAGGTTTATATCACTTGTAATCATTAAAAAAACAAATAAATAAACGTAATTTCATTATTTTTATTTTGATAATAAATATTTGCAATACATACTTAAATATTTATAGAAGGGTACCCGCAATGCAGCGAGATAAATATCGATTTTAATGTTTTGTTTTATTCCGTAGTCGTAGATGTTTTAATACGGTTATTATGTGGTTTTGAGAAAGGAATGATGTTTTTTTAAATAAAATATAAATTTAAAGATATCATAAAAATTCGAAAACAAATATATCAATATTAGTATCAAATTAACTATTTAAAAGTTCTTTTTTTTGTGTAATTTTTTTAATGCAATTCTATTATCATAGGGCAACTTGCATGAAAAAGTAACGTACTTTAACTTGATTCCTATTTTGGGTAACGTATTTTCAAAACTTTTATTTGGTACATAAGATGTAAAGTTTTAAACATTTAAGTACCCGGGTAACCCGGTGAAGACTAATTTTAGACTAAAAAAAGACTAATTTTAGATTTAAAAAAATCCACATCACTGACTACGTCAGCAAATAATACCGAGTTGGATACCACATCACTCGCCACATCAGCATGATAATCGGTTAATACTTCAACCAGTTACTCGGGTACTTAAATGTTTAAAACTTTACATCTTATGTACCAAAATGGAAGTTCTGAAAGTACGTTACCCAAAATAGGAATCATGCAATTTACCCATTATTATAATTTAATTTAGATTTAATAACGAAATAATTTATTTTTGATTTAATAATATATATTTTTATAAAGATAATGATATTTTGTTAGAACTCAATGATTATCCTAATTATATTTTAGATTTTTTATATTCAAAATGAAATGTTTATCTTGTATTTGACTATGTTTATCTGCAGTTGGTTACACGAATTCAAACATGAAGCTTTAATAAGTTTTATTTACGCACAATTTATCTGTAATATTGAATTTTTAGTAATATGTATCAATAAACAATAATAATTCATGCATAAAAATGATTTTTAAGAGTTTTTATCAAATGCTTTATAATATACTATAAATAGTTTAAAAATGTCTATTATGTGTTGTGATGTAAGTGAATCAGATGTGTTTTTAAACCATAAACCTCTAAATATGTATTTTACAAATTGTTTATGAAAATATGAATTGAATGTATACAATTTGTGTTTACTAAAAACAAAATATAATTATCTAGATTGTATTATGAAGTATTTGGATAAAACTCTTAAAAACAATTTTTAATACATCGGTACCGTATATTATAATAATGCATATTACTTAAAATTAAATATATTACAATTAAATAATGCACAAAAACAACTTTTTAAAGTAGTATGTTTGAATTAATATAACTAGCTGATAAACATAATATATAAAACTTATGTTAAATATAAATAATCTAAAATTTAATTAGAATAATCATTATGTTATTAAACCTTAAAATAAATTAATTTGTTATTAAATTTAATTTAAATTATAATAAAGAGATTAAATTAAAAATTATCTCGATAGAAAATATTATATTATTAGACCTAAAATAATTACTTTATTATTAAAACCTAAATTAAATTTTACTAAAAACTGAATTAAAAAATTATACAAAAAAATTGCGAAAATTTTAAATTGTTAATTTGATATTAACATTGATATTGATAGAAATTTTTATGGGTTTTCAAAATTTTATTTTATTCAGATATAAAATCTTTATCATTTTCTCAAAATCATACAAAACTATGTTATAAAGTGAAATATTAAAATTGAGATATATTTTGTTGCGTTATGCAAATACAATTCTAGTCTTCTTAAAAACACAATGGTTTTTAGCCTGAGTAATCTTAAAAATTAAAAAAAAATATTTACTGATATGGTTCATTTACAGATTTAATTAATCATCCTTGAATCTACATCGTTATGCATACCAACAACCATAATTACCATCTATACCACTTCGTTCATATCAAGTGAAACAGACCGTAATCGATTACATTTGACTCGGGTCTATAGTTTTTAAAGTAACTTTCTGATGTGAAACTGTAACACTGGAAAATGATGAGAAGCCGGTGACCATGACATGTTGTGTAAAAAATATGAAAGTTGGAGAGTCTAGGAGGTTGGATGACTGATCGGGAAAGCAGTGAACCTCGTTGCAATGTTGCTAACTGTATTCAGATAGAATGTGGGACTGAAAAGTTATTTTTAAACGACATTGAGCCACGTATCAAAGTCAGTCAATGCCATTACTCTCATTCACGTACTCATAGATGAATTCAACAAGTTAGGAAAAAAAAAATACTGGGTTTATGACTTGTACAACAAACAGAGCAGGTGCATAGGTGTTCAAATGTTCAACGGTAATACAAGGTTCGAATCCAGCTGATTTTCTGTAAGGTTGTTTGTTCAAAAGCA